CGCGGATCGAATTAGTAACACGCAAACAAGCAGTCAGTTTACCCATTTCGAATCAAATGTTAGATCGTTTGAGAATCAACTATTCTGACTAACCCAAGCTTTCACGAATACGTTGAAATCTTGATGTAGCGCGGATATGTGTTGTACCGAATTACTCTTTATCCGTTCATGGTAATGAGTTGTAAGACGTAAAGTTCACGCATGTCATCAAAAGCTTTACTCAAAGCGCCCGGAAAGATTTTGCTTATTGAGTCACCTAGTGTTTGGGTTCTCAAAATTACTTACCTCATTCTCTTACGTTTACTGCATTTTATTCATTTTTCGATAAATATGTAGTATACTTACACCAGGCTTCACAGAATGAGTGGAATTAAGTGCATACCCTGTTTACTTGAAGTTAGATATGATTTTAGTTCATTACTACACAAGTACACACGACAAATTGGTGTTTTTTGTCATTAGCCTAACTGTTTCATTGATTATTTGTGGGATATAGTACTTTAAAGGCTGAAAGCAAACAATCATAACCTGGATAATCTTGCTTGTTACGTGGGGTCAGTCAAAATTGAGTCACGATTGAATGCCCTGGGATATTTAAGGTGTGGTAAACAACTAGCTGGTTGTCACTTTATGTGCTCTTGGCGCGTGGTTGTAGAGAAACCGATCCCACAAAAGCTCTAAATTTACAGGTTATGAAAGCAAGACTTGCAATCAAAGACGTCAATGTTTGCTGAAGTTTAACTAATCGTCTGACTCATTGAAACTTCTAAATAGATATTTCACGTAAAGCATGAATGTTAGGTCAAGGATTTAACAACCTACCGGCGGCGATGTTGATCAATTTTCTGCGAATCAACAAAATATAACTTTCTATTGTACTGCAGTTTTATATGTTTTCTCCTGTATTAACTTTTAGACTACGCTGCCCAGCAACATAGTTGCATCACTAGCTAAACGCGAAATCAATCCACTTAGTGACGCCTCAATGCAGGGAGAGGTGATGGAGGCTGTTCGCAGAGTGCAATGTGAAAGCAATAAGGAGGTGAGTACTTAATTGTCTGCCATATTCTAGAGCTACAATGAGAAACGAAATTGGCGTACAGGTATTTGTGAAATCTAGACTCAATCCCGTAACGGACTACAATCGACAGCATTTGTCGGCCAACCCGAACGTGTCGTTTATCACCAAAGTGTACGGTTGTCTACTGCTATCGATGAGTCAGTCCTTTAGTTCACTGTTAAACCTTTCTATGAAGTCTGTGTAACTAACAGATAGATATGCGGCATGTTGTTCATGATCTAATCGCCACACGTTCAAACAAAATAATTAAGTAATAAATCAGCGCTCATGAGCAGCGTCAAAGTAAGTCATTTTCATTGACTGGATGCTCCAATTTTGGACATCCATCATCCCTTTTTTAAGTTAACTCTTTTTATTAAACTGAAAATGCTACTCATTGGTTAAGACTCTAACCTGTTGATGTAGATGAGAATTGCATTTTGTTCATGTCATGTTGACACGACATTAAAATAACCAAGCATTGCAGTTGTTTCGACTCGGCAAGTTGTAAGCGCACACTTTTGCCACTAGTTCCACTCTCAAACCGGAAAACCTCATGGTTTCTATGACATAATGCTATGTGTGCCAGTACTAAAAGCATGAGCGAAGCCAGGTGACCACGCATGTTTTATAGCCACAGCCAAACGCGAAACCTATTAACACTAGGAGTGTTTGAATCATTAACAGTGTAAGCGAAATAACATTTTGTCAAAGACAGAGTTAATGTGAAAACGCAGTGCTGAGTAGAACATTCAGTCCAGAAATCGTTTGAAACAGTGACATGACGATTCCTTTTCCTCCATAGGGTCATACATTTGTATGCGCCACTTGATTGGTTTGTTTGCTCTCAGTACTTAGTGTTCTATCGACCCCTCTCAACCATACTTTCTAACAAATGTCCTGTCCAACGTTTTTCACTGCTGCATCGTATTACAGAACAACCACAAATTTTTTTACAAACATATTCAAGAAGAGGCGAATTAGTAAAGATTCATTTTGTTATAAACCAATACTGCATTAGGTTATTTAGCCACTGAAGCCAAACGTAAACATCTAAGATGTGATTCCTGAAATGGTTGTCGATTGATTTACTCGGACCAACGTAGGCGTTTACCGTGTGCTTTACAATTCACTTTTAAAGGTGTTTTAGCGAACGCCATGCAGATTTGCCTAGGTGATTTTTTTTTCAAAATTTTGCGCTAAAATACGAATCTATTGGCATTCAATAACGTGGTATAATATTGGCTATATGCTTGTCTTGAGTACTTTTGGCATAAAATTACGGAAAATTAAAAAAATAAGAGAAAAGTTGATGACTTTTTGGGCAACAAGTTTGGCTAATAACAATAGTGCATTTCTAACTGGAAGGAATCCCACACTGATTGATAATTTGTCGACGTTTAGACAAACTGTGTAATTATTTGTCTTCCAGTTTAATTTTAATTTGTTTACTGGACAAATTATTACAATAAATTGTGGCTGCCGGTGTTTTTGTATAAATTTCCGTATTGTTCATGGGCGTGGAATTTCGAAGTCATGTGACCTGTGTCTTCTGATTTCATTCGCCATCTCAAACGTTTCATGCAACTAACCCTCTGTCATTCTTTACCTTCGCTTCATGGACTTTGGGGTATCTAATTTAAAAATGCAGGAACTACTAATCGCATTTTTCGCTTATTTAAAGTAAAATGTCTTGAACAATATTCTTTTGCATACTGCATCATTCGTCTGACAGTCTTATTGCCTCATCTTTTAATATTTTTGTACTTCACTTTTCATTAGGATTTTGCAGACGCGATTTTAAAGACTGCTTTCTATAAACATCACGTGAATGAATTATCAAACGTGTGGATGGACATTGCGATGAAGCAATGTATTTGAAATTGTCGTCCAAGTTCTGCTTTCATTGGTGCACTCAGCCAATATTGTCATGCGCTACTATTAACACTAATGTGCATGCACCTTTCAGTTATTTTTTTAAGTCAGTTAATCAAATATTTGAATGAAGTGATATTTTGTTCTCTAGAATTCGTCTGAGTAGTGTCTTTTTAATTTGACGTCGTAGTAAACAGCCCCTCGAGTGTTCAAACGTCACGGCATCAGACACCGATTTCGCTTAGACCCTTCATATGTGAAGCTACTAGTCTGTCGAAGTTTGGGCAAATATCCGTCCGTACTTTGACCTTTTAATAACGCTCAAATCAATGCTAATGGCTCCCATTAGGCTATCAATGACACGAGGTAGGATCCTTAGGTTACGTAATCAAATTATCTGGGTTTGGTTTTAAGCCGAGGCATAATGTGCTAGATGTTCTTTAATAAAAAAATTGTATTTCTAGCATTCGTCTGTGGTGTGTAGGCCGCTCATTTTCGTAAACACCCAAGGTCAGCGGTGCCACAGTAATACTTTCCTTTGTGTGTTAAATGTTCAAATGTGCTTTTTATAAAGTCAGCTTTGTGGTGAACAAGCTTCATGACTTTCCTCATTTAACTATCCCGAGGCTTGCGCCTAAGTCTAAGCAGCTTGGTATACTTGTATTCATGTGATTTTCAAGTTGTCTAGATCTCATCCTCTCGTGTGTGTTTTTTTCAGTGGAGAACAGACTCAGACCGTGGCTTCGTGACCTTTAGCATTTTGCTCTAAGTTATCTGTGTTGATCTACTTATGGAACGGTGCCGACGAATCTAACTGCTTTAGTGTGTTCGAAAAGCCACGTCAGAACCCGATGGTATTTTTAGCGACATACCTACATTTAGTAAAGTTTTGTATTTTTCTGCTGCAATTTTTTGACCCTGAGTGTAGGTGGATCAATAAAGTGAGGAATCGCTCATACTGTATGCACCAATTGCTCACAAGAAATTCATTTAATTGATACCATACTGCTGCAGTCAAGAAAGGCAAACGACAATTGAACATCCGACACTTACTCTTGTCCCGTTCCTTACATAAATATTCATGACACATGACTTTTCTTGTAAATGCTTCATTCTCTTACTCTGATATTCTAATTGGTAGATGAGGATATCTTAACTTGCCTTCTAAAGTCACATGAAGGCAGTCCTAGACCCCAGACATCCCTAGATTAGGGTGAAACCAGAAAGATATCCGTTTTCTCCTATTCCAGACCTGTCTTCAGCATGATAGTGAAGGCACGAACCATTCTAACCTTCGCTTGTGTTTGAATCAATCCGCCAACGATAACGGTGGTGACGATGCTCCGTTCTGTCATGCTGAAACAAAGTCGGACACTGAAGACGACTTTGAGTTGATTTTCGCTAACGGGCGGAAGTACAAGCGCTACTTCAAGCGCCACATCGTCTTCCAACGCCACGTCTGCAAACAGGTCTGTAGTTATTGATTCCTACGCCTAAATTAGAACTATTCGTTACTTTCTTTGTTCATTGGAATAAACTTGTGTTATTTAGCAAGCCATTAAAGCACCAAAACTGTCGTATTTTCGCTTCACGAATAAAATATTTGCTTTACACGCCTTAGTGATCCATAATTCAGAAATCATCTCGTTTAACCGTGGTGGTTGATGTTGGCAATTTGTCTTGAGACCGTCCACCGCCCATGCAGCGGTGCACGCAGTGGCGGAACTCCGCTAGTTGTCGGCCACGTTCTAACGCACGATTCGCTGAAAAGGGCTGCTTGATATTTGGCCTTCAAGTGTAATGTGTTCCGTCAAGTGGCCTAAACGAATTAGTGTAAAATGGTTGACATTCTTCCTCCCTTTCTTTTCATTTCAGCCAGCATCCGAACGCATATTTGCGGCCAGTGTGCCAAAAAGTAAATGATAAATGGGTTGCTAATGTAATTCTGTCGGGTGTGTTTTTCATCGACAGGAGTTTGCTGTTCTCTTACCAGCCCACCTAGTCCATTGTTTTCTCGGAAATTTTATTGTAAAACTGTTTACTTAAGTAGTTGAACATGTTTTGTCTTAATTAGCTCCTTTCAGAAGAATCATTTATTGAGCAAAAGTACTAAGTCTATTTCTTACAACGTGTATCGCGATTGACGACAAAATATATGTAAATTAGTGACTGAAGCGAAGCTAAATTGACAAAAATTCTTTCAGGCATCGATGGTATCGGCGAGCCATCGAGTAAATGAACCTCTGCAACTTTTGACGTGCTTGCGTCTCAGCATCTAGCATCAAGCAAAGCAGAATGTTACAATGATAAGATAACTACCAATGTCCTAAACCCATGCTTTCCCTTAAAATCACGTTAAATTTTAGTATGCAAACAAATTGGATGCAGCTCCGATAAGGTTTTGAATAGCGTAAATTTCTGCACATTTTGTTTCAAAAAGGAATTTTACTATGGATCTTTGGAAATTCGGTATTTTTCAAAGGAAGTTGGGATGAACATTAAACGAAAAATCTTTAACGTATTATTATTTCCTAAGGTTTTGAGAAACTAGACTGCTACATAAACTCTCGTTTGTCGCTCATTATTGAACGCTTAATTGTAATTCGATCGGAGGATGTGAAGTTTGAATAAACCAGCGCACTCGATCTGGCATAGGGCAAACAGTATTGTTGAATAGTTAATGGACATAACGTTTAGGGTGTTTGCGTGGAGCATTTTTTTAACTAATTAAAGAACATAGGGCTTATCGAAAGCTTGTGAAGGCGCTTTCATAATCCCTCTGACGCCGTGGACGTGAATGCAAAACATTACATGCTGCTACTAGTTATTAAAAGACAATGATAAGCATTTCTGATTGTCAGGACACGTAAAGAGTTTATTTTAATGCAGCCAAACCCTCTTTTGGCGTTGTGTTTGTGCCTAATCGGCCTATTTGCGCAGGTGTGTAAATGTGAATCTCGGAACATAATATAAGAATATTTGTCCATGCTGCGTCGGCCGTTGGTTATAATCTTTATCTCGGCACACAAACGGAAACCCAAGTTGATTGATATAATTACATCTAGCTTCTGAATTTGGTCATTTCACTCTGTTTCATCAATAGAAAAGTGGAAGAATTTGTATAAGGTAATATTGGTTGAAGGTATTACATTAAGTGTAGGATTACTTTTTTCAAGTTGATCAAACTTGAACGTGATTTTACGCAAAAATAGGAAATATAGTCCACGTTTGTCGTGGTCGAGATCGGAATAAATAGGTACAGGAAGGTCTTTGGTTTGTCAAAAGGGTAAAGACTTCTGTCGAAGACGTTGCAGCAATTTCTTCAAATCAGAAAGTGCATTGATTTTAAGTGTTTTGTTGATCGTAACTTTTCCACGTCGCTGGATGGAGATTTAACGAGCATGTGTAGGTTAGGACGACTCCCTTGGGGACCGAACTCCATGCAATCCCGAAACACTAAAAAGTCGCTTATGCCAAATCTAATTTTGTAACAGACAGTCCCCACTTGGCTACTTTCGTAAATATTTTCGAATCTCAGTAATATAAAAATGTGGGAGTTGGTTGTTTGAAAAGCCATTAGGAGACTACATGAATGTAGCGAGATTGGGGTGAACGTGCCTTTAAGTGGTTTTTGCAAAGCGTTTATCTGAAAGGAAGCGCTGTTATTTTGTTCAGCCTAAATAAGCCCAAAATTCTCGAAATCAAGACATGCTAAGGGAATGCGATGAGAATAATACATTTATTAATACATTCTGCCGCAAAGTACATTTAAAAAGCGGCTCTCTCAAAAAGGTCTGCGATTTTGGTTCCAATTGAACTTTTACGCTGATTTTCATCAATCCATAATTCCTTAGGCCAGATACGTAGTGAGTAAATGCTCTGGTGCATAGCACTGTTTTTGGACGGACAAAAGCTACAGTGCAGTTTCTGTATTTTTAAATAGATCGTCGTAGCGCCATCCCTGCCCGATGGAAGTGGGCCAGACCTCTCTCGTCAGGTGGCCCAGGGGCCGGTCCAGGGGTGTCATTTTGACAACTCGGCGCCTCGTCGTGAGACCCCGACTCCCACGGGCAGCTGCCAACTCTCCTCGTCTGACGACACGGAAAGTGGCCTGCAGGCCACGACTGAGGGCGAGGCTGCGAGCACCTCCACTTCGCACTCACCCCGTCTGTGGGAACCGGTTGGAAATGGCGAGAAGCCACGCACACCATCCGCATCGCCTTTCAACAACACACGTAGGTTAACAACACACTCTAAGAGTCAGCCAGGGCATCTGCTTGAATCTAAACCATCCGTTGAGAACGAGATTTCAGTTGCCCTTTGGTTATAGGTTGCTCCAGGGCAAATTGGGCTGCTAACAAGCCATATTTAGTAAAATGACTATCATGTTGTTAAAGAGATGGTTTATTTAGAAGTTATAATTCATCTTGCATTTACTGTTTAAACTTATTGCCATTAGTGCTTCAATAAAGGTCGAGACGGTGCCATTGGAGATATACTTAGATATTCGAGTACTCCCGACCTTATAAGACTAAATACGTGTAATTTCGTATTTGTTTGTAACGAATAGACAGTACAAACTTCCTTCCTTTCTGTTGCTTAACTTACAAGAGCACATAAAGTAGACTTTAGCAAATTTAAATCAGCAATTTTCTCTGGCAAATGAATAAACGGGAGAGTTCCTCGTCCCGAGACTTCTCATTGAGGATTCCACGTGTTGTCTCGTGTCGCGAAACATTGAATTATGTAATTACAAGTTGCATCTGAGCAGAGTAGTAATTTGTAGTTGACTTCCTAATATCTAAACGTATCATGAACGCAGGGGGTCAGTTGTAGTCCCATATTATTCGAAATCTTGAGGGTTAACTTGAAGTGACTGTGAATGAGCTATAATAGTTTGACCCTTTCAACTAAATCTTATGTTCTACTTGCGCTTCCTCCATCAATAGCGTGTCTGTACTCAACGCCCCAAAACTGGTTTTGTAAAAAGGACTCTATAGCCTTTTCCCAAAAAAGACACATGTCAACGTTTCGCGTTTTGGCCTTCTGTATACTTCTGTGTAACATATTCGAATAGAATATTCAAATCAATTGAAATTAGTGCTTATCCTCAAATTTTCATCGCTAGATTAATTGTCACATCATTATAATTTGAAACATTTCATAAACTCTTTAAGCAACTACCCTCCGAGAATTGATCTGCAGATCCTAGAAATTTTGTGAACACCTTTTAGTTAAAAACGTTTACCATTTACCTTCAAGTTAAACGCAGCTAAGGAATGGACCAAGTGCCGTAAATCCTGTTTTCGTTTCAAAGCGTAGGACTCGTAAGTTAATTTAGCTTTTGTCCGGTGGTGAAGAGCTGACAACCCTATAAGGAAACGAAAGCTTCTTTTCTCGCCTAAGTGCATTAACTGGAACTTCTCTGAATCTGCTTTCACTGTTCATGTCCTGCAAAGTTTATGGTTAATTTGAGTGAGATGTTGATGCACTTAAACATGCTCGTTTACAGTGACGAACTATATGTACAAATTTGGCCGATCAGACCCCCAGGATTCGGGGTTGGAGAGTCGCATTTATCGCAATTTCGCCGACTTCTTCCACCCCAAGTGGTGCAAGCGAGAGACGGCACAGGGTCCCCACGAACGCTCCAAGACCGTTGCCTACGTCCACAAGTACAGCCAACCGGCTCTAACAGGTCCACCTATCCAGCACAATACATGCGTCCAGGAGACGTGTACGGTTCGAATGGTGAGTGGGTTGTTCAGCTGTTCATTCAAAATGTCACCCTTCCTTTTGGCTGCAGCAACAATTGTAAATTATTTCAAATTTTAGGTTGGGGGACTCAACGAGCTTAGACAACAGGTAATTGTTACATCAAATCATTCTTCATTGTTTATTTGAATATTTTACTGGTAGGAGTCTGTTTTTCTGGTTGCTAAGTTGTCAAACACAGATTAATTGTGCACGTTTTGTACAAAATTCGGGCCAGATTTCACATTTACCTTCAAGAAGGGAAATTATTTAGTGACCTCCATGGCATCAGTTCTTTTGTTTGCACTTGTCACTTTGGGCAGACGAGGTTTTAATGCATGTTAGACTCTTTCTAGGAGGGTATGCTGTCGGTCTTATCGGATGTCTGTCTGCTGTACTATACGGAAATGGATAAGACTGCTATGTCCGTTTATTTCGTTACTAGACTGTGCCATCGTCTCCGGAACTAGACATGTGGGTCATGTGTATGATGGGGGCGGGGTTGGTAATCAGCCGCGGACAGTTGAATTGCCAAATACATAAAACGTCTCACAGCATGATGAGGGTAAAAGTTACAAATATTAAGTCGACTAATGTGAGCAGTCAGCAGCTTTGCGAGGTTGGGAGTACGTTCGGTTAGTCTTGGGGTCGGAATTCATTCTACGGTTGGCAAATTTTGAGGACGGTGAATGGAGAGAAGGACCGGCTTGCAATTGAGTTTGATGGTTAGTCTTAACTAGTCTTGTCTTTAGTGATAATGTTACTCAATCACTTAGAGCAGCAAGAAGATTTCTAATTAGGGTTATCTATCTCTGGACGAGTATTTTAGCTACTTTTACTGAAAATGTATACTAAACGAGTGATGTCCCATGCTACTAAGTGAACCGGCAAAATTTCACCACTGCGTATGAAATACTTTGGCAGCGGTACCTTAACATCGATTAAACAGTGCCATTCCTTTATCGTAAATTGTGAGTTTGCGACTGGAGAACTTCGAGATGCTAACCACTTTTGAAATCGAGGCGACTTACGTGAATTTCAGAAATGACTCGTGGAAAGTCTAGTGCAGTGGTTTAATGAAAAGGATGTTTGTTTCTTCCTTTCCATGAGTTTATGTAATACGATGAATGAAATTTCCAGAAGGTGTAGTTATCTGAACCTTAACAAGTTCCAAGACTGCTTTGCTCTCTGTAAGTAAGGGTCAGAGTTTAGGACAATGAAGTTGACATAGAAGCAGTCTCTTTGTTAATGCACCCTGTTAATTATTTGCATGTTTTTTGAAGTCTCGCTAGCGTTTATCATGGTACGGTATTAAGAACGCGCGTTTTTGAAGACTCTTGATCAACGCATATGCTAAGTGCGACCGGATTCACGAAACACTAAGCTGACGTAGAGGGTAATGAACCTAGCGATTACTCCATAACTAGAGCATATTATTCGGGTAAGCAGGGAACGTCATTGAGTTCACACAAATCTGTGGATTGGTAATCGAAGCCGTCTTTATTTTCAACGTTCGCGCGTTTCCTTTTTCCGTCATCGCCTTTTGTGTGCCTTCTGAACGTCTTAGTATTACGGCATTCTCCTGCTATCTTAAGGTGAGTTAATATATGCATCGTTTGCTTCACAGCACTACTTATGTGTCCGGTTCCGTACCTACTTGGAAACTCATATGTCGAGTTACGAATTGGAATCAATAATTCCTTGTTTTATGAGACCTGAACTTAGACCCTTTTCATCAAAATAGCGTGCTTTTTTCCTTATTCTATTTCAGCTATGAGATTTCTTTCGCCTGCTGAGGTTGTTATTATCAGCACTTTTAATAGCAAGAAGCCCGCTTAATCTGTCATCTAGGCACAGAAATAATCATTTTTGAGGTGGCGTCATATGCCCACTGCTGGCCTTTGGCGGCTATTTGCAATTCATGGGCGATGTAAAACTAAACGGGAATGTAAGCCGCCTTTTAATTGCACATGTTCAACCATGTAACCTTTGGCAGCCACCGTACTCTCGAATTCTGTCAGACGACTTCCGGCTGTTGTTGATAAACAAAATATTCCTGTTCGCGATCTATAAAGACTGCCTAAAATACATTACAGGCGATTTTCTCCGTGAGTATACTTCACCGGACAACGCTTACATTGTTTTGTAAATGCTCATTTTGGAATGTAGGGGAAAATTTGACCCAGATTTGCATCATAGCATTACCTCTTCTTCTTTTTTTCTTCTGTATTTCGCGTCTCTTGCAAAATGCTGCAAAATTACCCGTGCTTTGGCTAAACTAATTTTGGTTAGAAGGAAAAGAAAGAATTTTGTTGAGCTAGTCTGGCAGTGTGCGTCAATTTTTTTCGGGTTCTTGCAAGTTTGCCGGAATTTCAGAATCAGCCAAGTGAACTTCGCTGAAGATTTGCTTAATGTTATCATTGTAACTCATTGTTTTAGTTAATAGCTATTGGCCAGATGGTTTCATATCACCTGTTGGGGGTTACTTGCATAAATTGTGAAAACAATAAATAAGTAATCTCTTGATGACTGGGAAGTATCACGTAACTAACGTAAAGCAATAAAGGGTTTCGATGTCGGCTACTGAATGTGCAGTCAAATTCTGTTTCATGTAGTATTTGGATGGTCGCTTCAGCATAGTGGGGGTGGATATTGGCATTTTTAAATAACCTTTCTCATGGCACCTCTCTTCTACGAATCTTACTTTAATCTTTTGTTGACTAAACTGCCAAGTATACAGGAAATTTAGATTAGAAACCATCCAGGAACTCACCGTTGGTCCCAACTTTGGGTGCCTGAACATCAGACAGAAAAGAAGTAAATTGACTGCGTGTTTGCGTGTTACTAATTCGATTTGCCCAATGCAGACGAATTTTTCCTCAAACTCCACACCCCAGTCAAAAACTATTCGCATTAACGCAAGTCGAAAAGCGCCCAGT